ACAACAACAAGTATTTCGCATGTGTGTAGACGTACAAGTGTTTGTGTATATGCTGCAAAGTAGTATTGTTAGATTCACGCATGACCAACGGTGTGCAAGAATTCGAACCAATTATCTATTGATTGGGTATTGATTAATGGCATTTATAAGCCGATTTCTAAATAAGTTTTGTGCTTTTTATATAATTTCTTCATTTTTCGTTTCTAATTATATATATTATTATATATTAGTATAAGTGCTTATCGCCAATTCCACTTTCGATTATGCTTAAATCGAAAATTAATATACGTACGCGTTAGCTACAAATTAAAGTCGAACCGATTCAACCGCAGATTAATTGAGCCTTAAAACTATTCAGTACTTTGCTAATAGCCCCCAAGGGCGCACCAACTTAGTTTTTCGAGAGCAACATTGAGACAGCAGCGCAATCACCTCTCCGAGAGCTGGCCTATTTTATTGCCACAGCATCCGCTCCGCTACTCGTCTTTCATCTTCCTTGAATACGTCTACTTATTACGCATCACATCGCCAGGCCATCGAAATCGTGACCACCGTTTTAACTTCAGAGTTCTAACGGAGACACCTAACTAGTTGAATAGGTGAGTATCACAAAACCTACCCCCAAGCGATTATCAAAGTTAAAAAGATTGCCGTTTCCTACTACTTATTTTGTGTTCAGCTCTTTAGTTGAAAAACAAATTAGGAGCTTGCATTGTAGAGCATACATATCAAGCCCTTACGGCCAAAATAACCTAAGCCTAATTTTTTCATATTTTTTTTTTTGATGCAGAAATATTCCTAGAGCATCTAGATGCCTATCTGCATCAGAAAGAAAATTTTGACAAAAAATGTCGCTTACGTTATTTTGGCGGTTATGACTAGATATGTATTTTTCCCTATTAGTATAATTTCGCATGTAATAAAACCACCTGTAATTTTTGTTTAACTTAAATCTATAGTTAAACTTTATATAAGCGTTAAAGGATTAATATCACCAAATTATAGCACAGATAAACATTTCCTATCACAAAACTTATGAACTAAGTATATGATTAAGTAGTTGTCACAACTAAGCTAAGAAATCCCTATCATCCATATCCATTTTTCGCACTTGATGGCAATGTAAGAAAGAAGAAAGGGTACTTGAAGCATATACTGAACTTCATAATCACTAATTGCTCTAGGCGGTGAGACTACCTGGACTACAGCACAGCATTTATTTGAGGTTCGCAAGAGAACAGTAATGATCATTAGCAAAGACATTATTTGCATTACAACAACTAATTTCGCAACAGCCATATTAGGAACGAAAAGAGTAGTATACTAATTTGGCCTTAATTGTTGTTGCCGCTTCGATTCCATTTAGTGCTCTCTAACTCCTTATCAAACAGGTTTTTCGCCCTATGGGACTTTGCCAGTAAAGATAATGTATAAATGCCTATGACCACTTCAGTTTTTTTATTATGAGCAATAAGTTGATACACAAACATATTAATATGATCAACAGAGGTGACTAAGTTATGTAACTATTAAAATTTGGAAATGTTGAAAAACCAAAAATTAAAAAGTGGATCCATTAGACACCAGTATGTCAAGGGTTAAGACATTTTTCTTTTAAATATTGGAAATAATATGCCAATCAACTGGTTAAGTTTTGCCAAAAAAAGTTCCAAACTTCCCATAGTGCAGTGAGACGAATAAAGGACTGGTCTCACTTACTACGCTAAACTTACTGGACGGAAAATTATGTAGCCACCAGTGGAAGGGCAATCAAGATTCTTCCCAATCCTTCAAGCTTAATTCGAAGAAGCATTGATAAAATCACTGATCCCTTCGTCGGTGTAGTCTGCCCTAATTACGCTTGGGAATACATATCCTGTACTTGGAGGAAGTTATCCTTTATATATATTACAAAACTTAATTTACCTTCCTTTATTCTTAAGATCGTAGATATACTGTACGCCCTAGATATTAGGGAAAATCTTAAATTTTTAACATTCTCACGTCATACTCACTTTGCTTACTGGGTTGACAAGAGCGGAAGGTCCATGAAGTCTAAGGAAATTAGGAAATTGCGCTGTGTAAATTGATATAACGCTTCATTAGCGTGAACATCTTCTATATATGTGATACGCGAAGGGATTCTTAGTTCAGGACAAAAGATCTGCGAAATGGTTTTGATAATCTTTTTTTCTTAACCTAACATATGAGGGTTGCCACCTGATTCAAAATCCTATTCAATTTGAATTAAGGGAATTAGGTAAGATAAATATGTATCACCTTACGGGTGACAGACGAAAGGGGTTTCAGTAGGTAGTAGTTTGAAAATATTTTGAATAGGATTGCCACCTGCTTGAAATCTCGAATTTTGTTAACTTATACACAAGTTATATCAAATAATATCAAAGCATGGATGTCAAACGAAAGTGTTCAGAAATCTTAAGTTTGAACACTAAAAATATTTTCGAAGTATTGGGAGAGGGTTGCCAAAGTCAAATTATTCAATGAGTTGGAGGAATTATTAGTAGATGAATATCAATCTTAATGGCTTTGAAAGGGCTTCATTTCTGAAATATGTAAAAAAAATCAAATTCAACTTGAATTAAGGCAATTATAGTAGATAACTGAAATACATTCATATGTACATACATATGTATCACAATATATTATCAGACGAAAGAGTTTAAGAATGTTTTAGTTTGAAAATATTTTGAAGAGTTTGAAAAGTCGAACCTGGTCATTTTGAACACTGAATTGAAAATGATAGAAAGTACTTCTGCAGAACCCTCTTAAAAGCGGCAAGAGTAATGTAGAAGACTTAGGGCCGTTTTCTGAAGTAACCTTTAACTTTAATGCTCACTTTATATTTAAAGGTTGGATTAAAAATAAAGCTATGTCTACAGTTAAGCGTTTTTAGTATTGGTTTTTGACGTATGTATGTTTCTTTGTTGTAAAACAATAAAAAATCGATAATAAAATGATTTACTTTAGACACAATCAGACATTTTAATGCAACCTTTAAATATAAAGTGAGCTTTAAAGTTACAGGTTACTTGAGAAAACGGCCCTTATAGCTTATTTCCACCACAGGCTTAACAGCAATTAAGAGCTCAGAAAACTACAAATAAATCCAACATGGGGTTATCGGGTTTTTTCTTACGTTTTGCTTTTTTCCTTTCGTTTGCTTCTACTTAATAGGTGCAATTACCCCCCTCGAGTTGTAATATTCGTTTTTCAAATGGCTTAAACTGCAGTTAAGGTTTAGTGGAAATCATATCGAGCCCTAACCGCCAAAATAACGTAGGCGACATTTTTTTCAAAATTTTCTTTTTGATGCAGAAATGCATCTAGTTGCTCTAGCAATATTTCTGCGTCAAAAAGAAAATTTTGAAAAAAGTATCGCTTACGTTATTTTGGCGATTAGGGCTCGATATATTAGCCTTCCTTGATTGAATCTGCTCATGTCTGACCGAAGCCATTGTTAACTTCTGCCATGACTCCTGTACAGAACCTACTAAATCTAACAAGAGGAAGTCGCAAATAGAACCAACTAGAAAAACGAATGACCACAAACCCGAACGGAAAGGTTCATTTACTATACTGATGGCTTCAAGACAAGCCATGGCATCGGAAGAGCGGTATTGGATGCACAATTCGAAGTCTCCTTTTGACTAGACTAGGGCAGAATAACTCTGTGCTGAGGTGCATGCAATTGAGACTTGTCTGAGGCAGTATATAGACATTGGGGTAAAAAACAAACATGTTTACGTACACTCTGACAGCAGGGTGGCGCTCTTCGCACTGAAAGTAAACGAGGTCACCACAAAGATGGAATGACGCTGCTTTGGGATTTTTAAACTCATAGCACCTTGAACCGGGGTATTGTTAAGTAATAAGCCATAAAGCATCTAATTTTCCCGTTCGGAAAGGGGCTTCACATACGTCCTTTTCATCGGTCTAACGATGTCTGTTAGGCGGAGTGTTATATCCGCATGAAATAGAGAGAGTAGTATAACTGCGCAGGGAGGGAGGGTAATAGACAAGCAAGGTAATAATAATAAAAAGATTTTCGTTTGATTATTTTGAGAAATCAAAAAGAAAATTTAAATTCCAAAAATACATTGCTCTGAGCTCCAAGACGCTTCTGGAAAAGCTTGCAGTGTGACCAGTTTCACAGTATAGCTACATTAATATGTAAGCTCGGAACGGCCCGACTTTCTGTGTGAACGCACCCTAATGAATTGTATGAGAACTTTTTCATTGGCAGAAGCAGGGATCGAACCGAGATCATACGGAGTGATAGTATGCACTTCTGACAACTCTGCAAGAGCGCCGCCACGTTAACGAGTAAACTGAAGTGTGCGTCTTGATGATATTACACAATTGGAGGGATCTGCAGTTTTATACCGCCTTTATTGAGCATAGAACAATTATTGAGCTTGAGGCCATTTTTAATGAACAATTCTTTTTTTATGTTGCTTTGACTAGTGATCGAAAGTTGGTCCTACGGAGTGGTAGTATCTACGCATCTCTAACCACTCGGCTGCAGCCGCCCTACTACATTATACTTATCTCAAAACGCAAGGTTTCTAGCCATCATAAACTTCAAAACTGGCTGCGTTATTATATCGGCACTAGATTTTCATGAACCGAAAAATTTAAGAAGACAGCTTCACTGCACGTTCATAAATAAACATAGATTTTTTCCTTTCAAATGTGGATATTCTCTAATTTATGCAATTTAGGCACTGCTAAGGAAAAGTAGTTGCTGAGCGGTTTCAATGCACCCCGGACTTTTCAACTTTTTATGTACTCGTAAATATGTGTTTTAGTGTGTGTGTGTGGACATATTTTTGTGTGGGCGAAAGCAGCTGCAGGTAATTTAAATGCCATTCAAGTTGTAAGCTACCTATGCAGATGCTGACAGCGCCGCTTGCTAGAGCTTTCTTAGTTGAAAATTACGCATTCATTATTGTATTTTTCATGCACTTTTCACTTACCTACGCTAAGCAGAGAGAAAATGACAGCTGCAAGCAGCTGTTGCCACATTGGCGCGCGTACATCTGGCTGACGTGAGTGCATCCTGTCGCTCGCGCACTGGCCGGGTGCTATCAGCTATCACTGGACTGCGCGCACACAGCAATTAAAGTTGATGCGGCGATTTATTGTTGTTGTAACAATTGGTGTAGCTGTAATTGGTGTTACTGTTCCTTTTGTTGTTGTTGTTGTTTTACATTATCACAGCAGCACCCGTAGTATGCGTGATATTTGAAAACTTTGTCCGTCACTCAAGCCCTCACACTCATTCACTTGCTCACTCGCTGTCACACAGCTGTCACTTGTGCAGTCAGTTTAACTGCACCTTCACACGGAAGCTTTTTTATCTTCAGTACTCCTTCTGCTTTGCACTGTTGCACTCACTCAGTCGCGAATTTCTTTTTGTTGGCTGCAGCTGGGGTTTTTCGGCTGACTTGCCGCCACTCGCCATATTCGCATTGCGGATTTGTGCTCTAAATTGTTGTCTATTCACATGGAAATCTCGTCACTTCCCTTCACTTCAATGCAATGCACTTAACTTTCAATTCCACTTCGTTCACTCACTGCGACTGCCGCTACCAGCCCAGACTGCTATTGCAACAGAGCGTATGCGATGGCACTTGCCGCGGGAAGTTAGTGGGTTTACGAAGGGAATTATTACGATTGCCAGCCGTTCGTCGGAGTGTCATTCTGCTAGTGTCAGTTTTGATATTTTTTACGCCAGCATAGCAGACACGAACAACTTGCCGCCGCTCGTAGTGGCGGAGCAGAAACCAATAGCCGTATTTGTGCGCCTACAACTTTTGTTTTATTGCTGCGCTACGTAAATATTTGTGTCACATCCTCTCACAAATGGCGACTCTTTATCCGCGCCGTGATACCCATAAATAATATGTAATAAAAATTTGAAAGTAAGCGCAAACAATAACAAAATAGTTGAATAAAATATTTTGTATATTCTTTTATTGAAGCGAATGGGCCGTAAGACCTGCTCTGATTTTCGGTTAAACAGCGTTGCAGGCTGCCTATTTTATGATTGTTTTATGAATTTTCAGTGGCACTTTATAGCGTTGAAAGTTTTTGTTTTCGAAAAGCCATTCCGAGTATGAGCACGACAGTTTATAAGCTACAGTTTTCCCCAGCCCTTATGAAACTTTCGTCAATACACACAGGCGCACACAACAAACTGACTTCAAGTGTTATTGCGAGCTAGTTAGACTGCCACTTTGCCACTTTTATTGCTTTCCTGTTTGTTAGCCCAAACGTTAGCATTTATTTACTTATTTCACTACTTCTGTCCCGCCCTTCGCGGTCCGGGCCTGTTTCACTTGAGCTGTTGTTGCTGGTTCAGTTGTTTTTTACTTTCATCTTTCATTGTTTTCACTACACACTTTGCCCTTTTCAGTTCATTTGCGTAGCTAATGTAGATTTTCTTGCTGCGATTATCGATAAATATTCCTGGCCCTTAAGGATTAGGCAATGCTCCATACTTTCTGCTTATTCGCTTCATCCTACAGCAACAACCTCTGGCCACCTTGGCTTACTTTGGTTATCTCGTCTTTAATTCCACTTTTCTTTTTGCTGCTTGGCTGCATATCGGTTCAACTGTTGTGTTTTATTTGTATTTGTACTGTCTTTTTTTGCTTTCTATTCTACTCGCCCTTTTTTGCACTTACTTTTCCTCTAGTTTACCGTGTTAACATTCTCTAAGGAGCTGCGATTTATTGTTATGGTTCATTTGCTTATTTGCTCACCGAATTTATCTGCAAAGGCATGAAAGAAAAAACGAAAAATTAAATAAATAAAAGGAGCGTTCTTTAGATGGAAAGGTAAAAATATGTAAATATTAAGTCTTTGTTTAGTAATAAATGGTTGTACTTTTGTTGGGCTAAGCAAACTAGGATTTTCTTGCCAATTTATTACCTAGCGGTCCTGGTGGGATTCCATGATTGATTAAGCATTGGCAGTGCATATCTATGTAAAACATAAATTTTTTGTGATTTATTATTAAAACTGTTCAGGTGGTTTGTACATATATTTGTTTTAAGGATCTAAAAATTTTTCTGGTTAAGTAATTTCAAAAGCATAGCAATTTTACTCCACGGGGAGTTATTTTAAATATTCAAATCTTTTTACATAAATTCACATAAAACATTTACATTTTTACCCTTATGCGAGAGAATGACTGGATGAAGGAAGTAAAAAGGATTGCGAAACTTACCGAAACATTTAGCTTTGATAAATATTTGAAATATGGACCCAAAAAACCAGTTCATACACACATACATACGAGTACTAAGTGTGCAGTTTTGGGCAATGAAAGGAAAATAAGCAAATACCAGTCCAAAACTTCCTACTAAAATCAACCAAGACCCACCAAAATTTTATTTAAGTTTTTAATTAATTTTTAATGTCAAGTTTTTCATTTTACTGTACAGACTTACACAAATGTTTATCTCTTTACAGATACATACATACGTACATATGTATCATTATTATTATTATTACTACGTCGGGAATACACGCACTGCGACCTAAGAAGATCTGTTGTGCTTAACCCTAATAGTAATCACTCCAATCTTATTCTCTTTAAGAAGTTAGGCACTTTGGAGGGCGCCATGTTTAAAATTTTGGATGAAGAAGACAATCGTTCCTGATTGTGTACCAGTCTGCTATTTATGATACGTGGGCAATAGAATATGCTCTGGGGTTTCTTCCACCAGGTCACAAAAGGCTTTCGTTGCCTTCAAACCCTTCATGTCCCGGAACCCACCACAGCGTTACGTTATTGTGAGCTTCCAAGTGGTTCAACAAAGTTTTACAGCTTTCCACAAAACAGTCTAAGGCCTTTAACCTGCCTGACTATCGGACATAATATTCAATTTGGCCCCATTTGTCCTTCTACATAGACTTTGTTTGCGAAGACTTTCGCCTGGAATTTAGTTGTGTATGTGTAAATTGGCAAACTTTCTGGAATTTCGGTCCAAATACGCCTGCCCCAGTACCCTCGTCGTCCATCTTTTATCCGTCGGTATACCATGCTTGGCACAGTCGTAGGGCGCCCCAGCAGGCCTCTTTTTCAAATAGAATTGACAAAGGAGGAATGCCTGTAATGACATCCAGGGCATCCGTTAGACAGGTGCCCATAGCTTCTGTAGTGGCCACGCGGACTAGTCGGAATGGCTTACTAAAGGTGGAACCCGCCCTTACTTGCAAAGCTTTTGGATAGCACCAAGTCAGTGCCGCATATGTGACAACGGGTCTTACGACCATATTGGAAGACCAATAGGTTAGTTTTGCTGATATTCCTCAAGCCTTACAATGAAGTCTCTGTCAGGTAGACAATGGTGGACCCCACCGGTGAAATATTCATGTAAACAAGGTTGCTAAAATGTTTGGACGTACATATGGTCGTGCAACTTACCAAAATCCAATCTAGCCTACCAACCTACCAAATGAAAAAAAAAACTTCCAGTTTTGGTAGGAAAAGCCCATGTTTGGCAACACGGGTCGGAACTAAGGCCGCTAATTTTAACGTGGAATAGTAAAAGATTGGCGCTTACACATATGTATGTATTTTAGTGTTTGGCCAAACTTCTCCTCCGATTTGTGGCGTACGCCTTGATGATGCCACACAGGAGGACCTACAATTTTACGCCGACTCCGAATGGCGATTGTAGTTTTACTAGAAGCTGTTTTACATGGCATAAATACACTTCGACGTTTTCCATTGCCTGCCGGGAAGCCACCGCTATTAGAAAAAATCCGTTTATGTTTTTTCTTTAATTTTTTGATGCTGGATTGAACCGAGCTTGAACTCAAGCCCTGCGGAGTGGTAACGCGCATTGGTCACCATTACAACACAGCGGCCGCTGTATAATTTGTGATATCATTAAGAGCAACTTCAAGTTAAAAACTAAAGCGCGTATCGCAAATTTCATTCGTGCAGAAAAGCCCCTAGAGGGCGCGCAGAGTTCTTCGTACTTACTGAGGCTTAACGAAGAAAGTATTGAGCCATTGAAAAAATGGACAACAAGCTGCTTTTCGGGGTGAGAACAGCGAAACTAAAAATATTTCGCTCCAATGAGCCGATTCCAGAGGCTGATATCGAGGATGCCAACCGCCTCAAGGTTACCACGAACGAAGAGGTCGCTGATGGTGCCAACCAGGTGCTGGCAGGCATAGGGCCAGTTAATAATGCCGAGAAAGTCGATGAAGGTGGTCCAGGCAAATCTTAGGCACTCTAAGGCTGCCTCGGACAAGCTCCTGGTCTTCCTAAGGGAGGAAGACATCGACATCTCGTTGACACAGGAACCTTGGATAAGGGACCTAGAGGTTAAGAAACTCACCGGCGCCCGCTATAACCTCTTCTACACTAGTATATCTGGTAAACCCCGCGCATAGTAAAGCTTTCTTATGTTCCAATTTCAGCTCACCGGATAATACAGTCGTCAACTTGGAGTTGATGAATAAACAAAACTGTCTTATATCATCCGTATACTTGGCGCACGACAGGCCGTGTCCGCCACAGGAAGTCGTCACTTTACAAGGGCTAGAAGGAGCTAGTCGAGTGTTACTCGGCTGCGATGCTAATTCACGACATACATTATGGGGCAGCTCGGAAAGCAACGAAAGAGGTGAGTCGCTATTTCAATTTTTTTATTGATTCTACATTTAGGATTTGTAATAGAGGTAGTACTCCCACCTTCATATTTCCTATACCCCTGATTTTTGCTGTCGGGAAGAGGTCCCAGACCTAACTCTGCTGACCGAGGGGAGAATAAAAGTCAATAAATGGAGAGTATCCGACGAAGAGACCCTCTCGGACCACCGTCGAATACTCTTTGAGCTAAATATTGCTTCGGATACGGCTACTCCCTTTAGAAACCCTCGTAAAACAGATTGGGACTTATTTCAAAAGGTTATTGGAAAAGAATTGAAGAAACTACCAGTTGAAGACATTTCTACAAGGGCGAGCTGGACGCCAGAGTGGACAGCCTGAATAAGGCCTTCGGAAAGGCCCTTACGAGGCTTGTCCGCTGAGGTATGGCAAGAAAGCGCGCACACCTTGGTGGAATGAGAACCTTACAGTGCTACGGAAGCAAGTAAGAAAATCCTTCAACGAATGCTACAGGATTAAGGTATGGGACCTATACAGAGAGAACCTAACGAAATACAAAAATGCGATACGGGACGCCAAGAAGGCGTCCTGGAACGAATTTTGCGAATCCATCGAGGATACCAAGGAATCTGCAACATATATAAAAAGGTCAGATGGTTCGTGGACTGAGTCGGCTGGGGAGTCGCTGGATATCCTTCTGAATACACATTTTCCAGTGTGCAAAATCGATGTAGTGGAGACCGATGCCCCAGACCATATACCAACCCTCTCCGAGGACCTCTTAGAAGAGCTACTAGAGAGGGAAGAGATAAAATTTGCTATCTTCAGCTTCTCACCCTATAAATCACCGGGTATGGACGGAATACTAATACTACCAGTCACGCTTCAGAAAGCTTCTGAGATGGTCATTCCAGTCCTAGAAACAATTTCTAGAGGATGCCTTATAATGAACCACGTTCCGTTAAGCTGGAGGAAGATTAAGGCAATTTTTATTCCTAAAGCGGGCAAACGGGGCCATAACCATGCTAAAGTTTTTCGACCAATAAGCCTAATGTCCTTCGTGCTCAAGACGTTTGAGATGCTGTTAGATCTGTATGTTAGGGACAAGACGTCCAATTTATCATGCTCTAACATGCGTAATTGAAAGGGAAGTCAACGGGGACTGCCCTACATGAAGTGGTACGTACAATTGAGAGTTCGCTCTACTATAAACAATTTACAATGGCGTCCTTTATAGACATCGAGGGGGCCTTTAATAATGTCAGTGTAGATTCCATCCATGAGTCACTTATGGAAAAAGGGATTGACCACTGTGTCCGGACTTGGATAGTGTCTCTGCTAAGGAGCAGATTTCGGGTACTTGCAGGGCTTAACTGTGTTTACGGATGAGTCGAGGATGGAATGCGGGATTGGAGCTGGGGTCTTCATTGAGCAATATAACCTAAAATTATCCTTCCGCCTACGAGACTATGCAAGCATTTTCCTGGCCGAAACGTTTGTTATTAAGGAGGCAGTAAGGCATCCTCTCGGATAGCCAGGCGGCTATTCAGGCACTTTCTTCTAACTATGTTAGATCTCAGCTAGTGGATGAATATAGGAGAGAGCTGGCCTATATTTCTGATCAATACGAAATTACCCTAATATGGATCCCAGGACATAGGGGCATCTACGGAAACGAGGCAGCGGACGAACTAGCAAGGAGCGGCTCCGCACTGGATGTGTCCCACGCGGTGGACATGGGCGCCTCGCTCAGGGAGATTAAGACAAAAAATACCGAAATTTATCATTCGAAGGCCAGGCAGAGGTGGAACTGCACAGGATCCTACAGAATTTCCCGGCAGTTCTGGGTGTCTTACAACCCACTCAAAACCAAAGCTCTCTTAGGAATGAGCCAAAAAAATGCCTACAAACTTACTGCAGTGTGCACAGGGCACTGGCTCGTTGGGGTACATGCCGAAAGGATAGGACCNAGGTGGAACTGCACAGGATCCTACAGAATTTCCCGGCAGTTCTGGGTGTCTTACAACCCACTCAAAACCAAAGCTCTCTTAGGAATGAGCCAAAAAAATGCCTACAAACTTACTGCAGTGTGCACAGGGCACTGGCTCGTTGGGGTACATGCCGAAAGGATAGGACCG